TATCTCCTAAACATAAACCATCAGTGAATCGTCATGTTCAGCGTTATTTGCCCACTAAGAAGAGGGCGACGTTCGTTAAAACTACCTCTCTTTCCAAAGAAAGTCATAGGAATTACAAGACCAATCGTTCTGAGACAGTGCAAGCAAAAAGGCCTCATTTCCATCCGATGGTTCGTGTCTCACAAAAAGAGCACAAGTCTCCACATGTAAAACCGACTACTTCCAAGCATCCAACAACTGCAACTTTGAAAAAGAGATCACACGATAAATTGGTAGGCCATAAATCATTGGTAACAACACCAAGGACCCATTCTCATCACACTCTAGCTGTCCTGTCGACTGACAAGCCAGATGATGTATCTTCTAACGAAAACGTTTCCTTGGTATCTCATCCAACCTTTTCATTCAGTCCTCAGTTGATCAATAAGGAAACAAATTCCTCAGTGCGGATTCATACTTCTTCGAACAATGCATTACTTTCTCTAAAACAACGCAGTAACACAAACACTTCAGACACAAAAGCAAGCCTCTTAGCTCATTTTCATCAGGCAGACAGCAGCGGGAGTGATGGCGTCGAGTTTTCCGTAAAATCTCACGGAAAACACCACAGACGTAAGGGGAAACACGAAGAAGCCATTGATGTAGAAGATCTTGGAGACGCTGATTTTGATATAATGATGTCAAACGATATTCCTCACAAAGACTTGCCTAAAAAAGGAAAGGGTGAAAAACGAGACCAGAAGCACACAAAGAAAGGTGAAGGGAAACAACGTGACACAAAGGATGATGTTAGTGGAAAGAAAAGGAAGAAAGGCAACTCGCATGAGAAAGATGAGGAGGACGACATTGACAAATCAGACACGAGTTCTGCTAAGAGCCATTCCTCTCACAAACACAAAGATAAAAGTGAAGAAATAAAGAAAAGCACCACCAACAAGCATCATTATCATCATCACTACCATCGCGAAGATGATGCTGACAAAGACCAAGATGAACAGAGAGGGGATGAAAAGGAATCACATCAACACCATCGCAAACACGACAAATCCACAAATTCCGAACAGAAAGACAGCGAGAGAAAGAATCGCCACCATAACACGCACAAGAAACACTCAAATCCTGTCAAGAAAGTCGAGAACGATGATGGTGACGACAATAGCAACATTGTAGAAGGTATCCATGCAAAACATCACCACAAGAAGGTTAAAACAGACGATAGTCGAAAGGACGATTCGGAGAATGAAGGAGAGAAGGAACACCGCCACCATCACAAGCATAAAAAGCATTATGATGATAATCATTGGGAGGGGAAGATCATTCCTGGGAAAGTGAAGCTTACTTATGAGGAGGACAGTGGCAAGAAACGACATCACAAGCATTATGCTCGAGGAGATGATGAAAACTCAGAGAGGAAGAAGGAACACCATGGGAGGAAACACACTTTGAAAGAACATGAAACCCACAGCGATAGCGACGAGGAAAGGAAAATTAAAAAACACCACAGACATTCCGAGGAAAAGACATCTCATACCCATGAGCATGAAGAAGATGATTATGAAAAGAACGAAGAGCACAAAGAATATAGAGAAGACGATGAAGACAGACATCAGTCCGAAGATCGGCATAAGGACGAAGAAAAAGAACGTGCAGAAAAAAGAACTGATGTTAACTACGAGGTGGTTAAAAAGGATCGACATGGGTTGGTTCACAAAGAAACAAATGATGATGACGATAGTGAATCTTCAAAAAGAAAACATGATAATAATGATGATGATGATGATGATGATAGTGATGAAAAACAAAACAGTGAGAATGACAGTGATGAAGACAAAGCCAGCGCAGACGGCGATAATGGCAGCAGTGAAAATTTGTCACATAATCGAGTAGTTTTAGGTGAGGATTCTGAAAGTGACGATGACGATGAAGACAAGCATGCAGAGGAAAGTCGTAAAAGTCATAACAGGCACGGGCACGGAAAAGAACATGGCGACAATGAGAGAGAAGATGCAGGGTACGATACAGAGGATCACGACAGTACTAGCCATGAAGAAGATAACAAACCTGCTTTTCACAACAGGCATAAACAGGAAAGACATTGGGAATCAAAACACAAACATTTCGTGTCCCATGAACAATCTAATACTGATGATGACAATGATGATGACCAAAATAATTTCAAAAACAGTAGGAGGAATTTCAGAAAATCGTTTATATATCACAGGAAAAGGAAGAAACAAAGGAGATTTAGACAACATAATGAAAACGAGAGGGGTAGGGAAGAGGAATTTAACAAAGATAATCAAGACGAGGAATTTCATGTTCATAAGAAACATCCGGACAACATTTCTAAACATCGTCATTATCATCACAGACCTCGCGATGGAAATGATAATGAGAACACGGAAACGTATGACGACCGTTATGAACCAAAAGAAACACACGGCGAGGACTCCTTTAGACATGACGAAGGAGGTTATGAAAGCAACCACGAACACAACGAAGAAAAAATGCGTGACTATGAGAGACAACGAGAGGAATCAGAAAAGTTCCAGAAGCCAAATGTTGAATTTGAGGAACACAATGACAAACGCTTTCATCACGAAAAAGAGCGTCACCACGGTGGTTACATTTCTCGTGAGAGAGATCACGATGAACGGAAATTTAAGGAAGATCTACACGACAGGAATTTCCCAGACGTTCCTCATCGACACGAGCAAGATGCTTACAAAGATAGATTTAGAGAAGGTGAGAGGCCAGCTGATGATGATGAAGATCACCGTGCATACTATATCGAGGGCCGCAAATATGAGCCCAGGCATAGGAAAAAGGGAGATCGGAAGCATCGCCACTTTCACGCGGTCGAAGAGCAGGACCTTGAAGGAACTGGAGGTTCATTTGATTCATCAGCGTGGATGCACGGCGAAAATTCAGAGGATGATCATTATTATGGTGGCGAAGGCAACCAGGAATACCACAGAAAGAAGCACCGCAAGCATAAGCATCGTAAACACAGGCAAAGCTATGAATACTGGGCTTACAGAGAACAAAATCCATACTACTACAGTTACAACTACCACAAGTCTCGACCTCGATATGGATATTATAAACCGCAGCCCACTGTTCGTCCTCCCCCTAGGTGGCATAAATACCACTATGGAGGTTACGGCAGATGGAAGCCAAAGCCTACTAGCTTCTACCCAAATAAGGAACATTGGGATAGGAAACCATCTTGGAGATCATTTGAGGAGAATAAGCCAACAGACGGATACCAGTGGCACACGTTTTACAGTGACCGTGGTGGCACAAATCAACCCAAACCCACTCCTTACCCTATGGCACCTTCTCATGCCTGGCTTCCCACAAATCCAAGATGGCAACAACCCGATCAATCACAGCGAGGATTTGGAGGTGGCACTTGGTCTCCTGGCCACGGTCAGGCTCCAGAAAAACAATACAAAGACTGGAGTAAACAAGGGCCATCAGCCCCATTAAATCAGGGTGCAGGCAATTACCGGCCTCAGCAAAATTCGGCTGGATTGCAGCCGTCGAGAAGTCTCGGCTCTTCCATGCCAGCCCGCCAGCAACAACCACAAGGCGTACAACCAAAGTACGTTCTTCCTACTCAATCCAATACAAATGGGGTAGTTAGCCAGACAAGGTTTCGTCCTACGGTCCGCAGGCAATATCAAGCCCCACTGCCTTCGCAAGTCTCAAGCCCCACAAATATCAGCCAAATTAAGAGTATTATGGATAAGTTGAACACGCCGCCTTCGGCTGTAGGTGATCTGCAGGCTGGCGGTGCTCCAACTGTCAATCCAGTTCCAGCACAGAACAATGCTAATAACAAAAGTGGACTCCTTAGGATGAACTTAACGTCCGATGATCAACTACAAAATAGGAATCGTCTGAATGGATTTTTTAATGAAGAAAATGGAGGAAAGAAGAAATCTGAGATCATAAGGCCAACGAATGTCAGTCATGGTCTACAAGCTGCAGGAAATTCATCTTCATCAGGTAAAAATTAGATGTACTTTTGGTTTGCTTTATAAAGTTTCTAGATTCCTTAAAAATAGTCGATCAAGTACAGATAAAAATAGCTGGGTAGAACCTGTAATGGGACAGGGAAGGAATAGGTGGTTATTTTAATCAGGATTTTACGTCTGTTTCGTGGTCGAGGTGTTTGAACTGAGGGAGTTAGTAAGGAATTACTAAGTTCACAACATGGCGCTAATTTGGTGTATCGTGTTTACGATGACCTTGCACTTTCATCTGTTTGAATGTTTATTATCAAAGCATTAGCCGGTCATGACTTTCTCGCACACACGATAAATACTTGTGATTAACTGGGCAAAATATCAAAGAATGGGAAATCAAATTTTCTACACAATGACCACACCTTCACCTCAGTTAGAGGGCAGTGTTTTCTCAGTGTACTATTTTATTTGTATGTTTGTTTGTTTCGCTTTGTATCTCAACTCCTCCACATATTCGAGTTAATGAACATTCATATTGGAGGAAGATTTTCATTAAAAGAATATGTACTTTTATGTATTTCAAGTTGCATGCATTTTTGTTGCACGCTCTTCCTTTGGCCATGTCTTATTAGTGATATGCTGTGATCACTTTCATTCCTTCTCATGCAGCAAACACTTCACACCACGTCCAACAAAATCCACCCAGTATCACCAGCACGCCAGCTAAACCTCTGCACTCCACCCAAGTAGCAAATAAGACAACTGTAAGAAACACCACCCCTACACAGACAACAAGCAGCCACACCAGCAAGCCGACTGAACCTGCGCAGAACAGCTCCACAACAGCCACGCCCACACATACGACTACCGTTGAGCAGACCCCTCCAGGACCGAACTTTGGAGACGTCTCTCAATCCGATGATTCTTCAGGTATAGAAGTGAAATAGTCAGAGTTATATCTTATAATAGTTAGCTAAAAGTAAAACCGTAGCTTGTTTAACATTTGTTTGGTATGAAATTCTTAACCATGATAATGACAGGCCATTCATTTCTCCTTAATAATTCAAACATGAAGGTAACGCGAGAATTAGTGAACTGATGAAAATAAATAACTCAAGCTAGGAATTCTCCTAAAATGTGCATTAGATGTAAACGCACATGAGTATGGAGAAATCCTATTTGCCATAGAATTACTAGATACCAAGGTTATTCACATAAAGATAATTCGAAATTGATTGATGTCAGACCATCTTTTTTAAAAAATCTACAATTCTCAAACAAAAACACGTTCTGCATTCACTCATCAGAAACAGGAAAGAAGCATCGCAAGCACCGAGCACCTGTCTGCATCGCAGGAAAAACCACAGATGACGTCACTCTGCTGCGAGGAAAAAGAGCAGGAAACTTCACCAACATTGGTGACGTGGGCGACTTCGAGATGTGTATCAAACGGTGCTGCCAGCACCAGAAATGCGACCTGGCCTTCAAATCCGCAGAAACTTGCTTTCTTGTCAATTGTTTCAGTAAAGAATCGTGCCAGACCTCCCCCTCTCTTGACGACATATTTAGTCCGCGGATGTGCTTTGTGACAAGGCATTTGAAAGACGACGAGAAAGGTAACCAAGCGTTACATTAATAAGGTTTCAACATATTTCACGGATTGACATCATTGTTGACTTATTTGTTTTCAAGACACTCCAGGTCAAGACAGAGATGATGAATGGAACGACAAAGTCTCCCCTTCAGGTAATATAAAGACAGAAATAAGAAATAACCACCACCTACATATAAAAAAATAA